TATATTATTTTTGTTATTATATTAGTACCTATATAGCATATTATAATATTAAATATATTTTACATTTTTACAGTATTTATTTATAATTTATTCGCCCAAAAAATTACCATGTCCCACAACTTGTTAAAATACGTAAGAAAAAATATTAAAATTTCTTATAGGCGCTGCGCGTGGCAGTCAAGCGCATAAATGTAAAATGAAAAAACCTTGGAAGGCTATAACTTCCAAAATAATGGTTTCCCGGAAAAAAATACACCATTGTTTTAAGCATAAAAAAAAAGTCGTCTGAAAAAAAAATTTGAAAATCGTGAGGGGGTTGGTAAAGTGCACTTTAGCCCAACTCTTCCATTACAAAAATAAATGTATACTTGTAATGTAAAAGTATGTCGCTTTTCTGGACTGCGGATCCGGATAATTGCGACATTTTTATTGAGTATAATATTAAAAGATCAATAGTACGACAATCGTGACTGACTAGCATTAACCAAAATTTAAAGGTAAATATAGAGCAACACTGGTCAATTATATTATAGAAAAGATTGAAGACAATTTACTTCAACCAAAATCAACGGCACTAGATATCTGTAAAAAAATTTGTATCCTACAAGCAATTCAATTCATTTCAGACAGCTGGTGTGATTAAGTAGTCAGACAATAAAAAATTATTTTCGCAAGTGTGGTATTTTGGAGGAAAGTCATAGTATCAATCAACGGTTGGAACTTAATTCCAAAAAATATGATAACATAAGAGTACTAAACAACGTAGAATTTGTACAACTGGATTTAAATGTGCTATGACCAAAATGAATACATTGATGATGTAATTATTCAATCCATACAAGATCAACATAAATCAGATGAAGACAAGGAACCAGATCAACCAATCAGACTATTGGAGGAAAAGCAATCTTTGGAAACATTAGAGACTATTTTTTCTTCAACAAGGAAATGAGGAAAGCCCAATAAGTGCTTTGGATACTTGTTCGGACTACATTCGTAAACAAACAATATTATGTAAAAAACAAAGTAATATGCATAATTTTTTTAAATAAGATAATATATATATATGTATTTTTATAAATATTTAGGTTATAATACTATGTTTTTTTTTTTTATATAATTAAATAATTTCTAAAGTTGTGTTAATTATAAAATCATAAAAAAATTGGGTTTTCAATAAATTTATGTTTTTTTTTTTTTTTTTAATTTGAATTTTTGGGACAAAATAACATGCAACTGATGTGTCCCAGTAAAGTGGAATCAACTGTATTTGCATGCAGGAATAGTATAAAGTATCTTTATGTCATATACCTAACATAAATTAATGTAATTTTTGAACTTCATATTTTAATTCTCTTTTCTACGTTGGTTTTTAAACAATACGTAAAATTACATAAATATAAATTTTGATTAATGAAAAAAGAATGTGGTGTGTACACTAACCAACTTATTGTTATTAAATATGATAAAAGAGCACAAAAATTAATAATGATATCAAACTTATTTAAACCACATTTTATTATTTAAAAGTGCTACATAATTAATAATTAATGAATAATATATAATTCTAATAATTCCTAGAACAATTAAGACATTAGTAATATTTAAACTGTAATAATTGAATGTCCATTGTGTCGGTAAAAGGCTTATATTACCATATTATTATTTAGGGGCTTTATTTCCTATATTCCCCATGTTGTGATGGTAAAAGAAGAGCTTTTTTGTTCAATTTTTTATTTATTTTTTGAGGAAATCAAAGGACACAAAGATAGGTACCTACTAGGAAGCTATTCAAGGTGAACTACGATTGTAATTTACTGCATTTGCTAACTAGTTCGTTCACCTGTTATTACGGAAATTGTATAATATTATAACTCTGAACAAGTCTCTATTACTAATTATTAATAAAACAAAGAAAGGATTAAATGTGTACAACATGAAACGAAATTTATATAAATGAATCGAAGAACCGCGATTAATTTGTTATAATACCACATTATACGTTAGTACAACATTGAAATAAACAAAGTGTATTATGATTAATGGCGGGAAACGAGACAAAGCGCGGACATACACATCCTGTCTGCGCGTCCAACGATAACCGCGCGGACGAAATATTTACCTGTGGCTGTTGCGAGTTGTCCATTACGTTTTCCTTGTTCATGGTTGTAAAAATTGTCGTTGATCGGAAATCAAATTAAGTATGATCGTACGAAATTGTAGTAGGCAGGCACGGTGAGCAGAAGACAGAAGTAGTCGTCGACYCGAGGTGGATAAACGTCAAACGTCAAACGTGAAATGACAAGGAACAACGATATATGAGATACGGTTGTGACTGTGAAGTGTGAGCTRACGAGTGGTGAGCGGAAATGATACGTATAGTMGGGACAATGCGGCGGTAGACGTTTGCCGTGGATTTGGAGGCAAAATTCAATGACCAGTAAGCGGTATTGTGGTACACCATTCGAAGCGGGAGCTCACACCCGCACGCACACGAGTWTCACAAAGACTTTGGTACGATTTTGCGCGGTAAAACGATATTGTAGCGGCAAATTCATCATCTTTGTGTACACTTTACAGGCAGTTTTATCGTGTAGTCAAACTTAACGTAAAATCGTTGCAGATAACAATTAATTTCGGTGTTGCCCGCCGAATTATTATCTATCTCCGTGGTGTTGCCACCATAGAAAATTCTATGGTTGCTCTATGGTTGCCACCACGGCTATGAATGGATACGGTATATTATTCTATACTGCAGCAGCATAGAACAGTATGGCAGGCTGCACTGCTGTAACCGTGTTTAGTGATTGCGGTTGCCACTTTGGCACTTTGCCAGTAAGTAGTAAGTTGCCACTACATAGGCAGTAGCAGTATCCATAGCTTCATCCAAATTTCATCTATTCCTCGGCAGTATTGCATTTCAGCATTTGCAGTAATTCAAATTGTCACTACCCACTTTTGACTGTTGTTCTCACTTCCTCAGACCTCAATCGACAATCACAATAAATTTAAGAGAATGAAAAAGAAACTATCTTATAATTATCCACGATTAAAGACATGGTTTAATTCTACATTCGATGTGTCCAATACATCTTAAGACATCCTATTATTTCATCATTGTACGTCCAATTCAAATCATGACGTAGAATTTATTGACATTGAACGATTGGAGTACCTTGACAYAGTCTGACAGTCATATACTGGAACGGTTTAAAGGAATAACCGCATAGATCTAAGAAGTASTGAAAAATGTGTATCGATTTCTAAAGTAACTTTGAATAGTCAAGCTTTAACGGAATACATTACTAATTTACCAACGACGGATCTAACCTCACAAGTGAATAATACGGTGATTAAGTTTAAATTTGAAATAAATAAATGMTTTGAAGTTCAGTATGAGTCGAATTCATTGTTATCTGAGGCTACATTTTTAGATCCACGGTTCAAAAAATATTGTTTCCTGTACGAACTTTCATTTCTAAAAATTAAATACATTATAATTAGTAAAGGTGAACGGATGACCACAGACTAGATTTACATTAGTCTAAAATTCAATAGTAGTGTTGCTGACTGCTGTAGTAAACAATATTATTAGAAAAGAAAATTCAATTTGACGCAAGAATACTAGATACTGAATCAATTCATTCGATTTACTTGATTGACTCAATTCAATGAATTGATTTATTTATGAATTACACACCATTATTACCCACTTTACGATTCAAGATACATCTTCAATCATACCCAAAAATATGGTTGCTCAACGAGCATGGAATCTCCAGTTCATATACATATTGTATACATAATATAATATACATATATGTATTATATATCAATGATATAATGTTTTATCTTTTATTGAAATATAATATATATA